AAATTGACATTAAATGTCACAGCAGTGACAGCTATGTCATTCATAGTGGATTGTTTCCAAGGTAATGATACGCTCAAAATTCATACTTTTTGATTTTGCAGCGCGGTGTAGAGTTTTGTTTAAACCGAAATAACTCGAGAACGGTACATTTTAGAGATATTAACAAGAGTACTTTTTTATGAAAAAATGATCGGGCTTTTGATTTTTGGTATCAAAAATATCTGTTAATAGGCTGAAAAAAAGAGTTATGACCCAAAAACTGGAAGGGTCCTATTGTCACAGGAAATCTATAGCTTTTACAAGACTTCCGTTTACACCATATCAAAGAGTATCTTTTTGTCCCTTGACATGCAAAGTTTCATAATAATCGGATAAACGATAACAAAAATATTTCCAAAAAATCATTTTCCATACCGATTTTTGGAAAGCTGTAATTTTTCTATTTTTTGAGCTAGGTCAGTAAATATTGTGCTCTCTATTCTCATTTGTAGAGGGGTATTCGTGGTTAAAATTATGCCACACATTTTTGAAACACCCGATATAGGATGAGTCTTAACTTATACGCATAATTTTGGGATATGATGGATTATGCCAAAAAATTCTAATAAAAGTTTCTTAATTACCGAGATATACCGTGTTAAAAGCACTATTAGGCTGTGCCTGTCAATAGCTAAGTGAATCGATTTTTTTTATTTTGGTGGGGTTAGGCAGTATTGTTTATTAATATTTGACAAAAATAATAGTGATTTATTGTAAGAGTGTGTTAGGTAGCGTTTTATCCACGCAAGAATGTTTATTAATTTTCTTAAGTGGATAAAACGCGACTCATTTGATTGTTGAATTCAACTGTCAGGGGGTACGCTGGTTACTAATCCACTAGTGGATAAAGTGGTACTTTATACGCATCTAAAGTGTCGAATAAAGTCTCTTTATAGAGTGATTGTGGATAAAAAAGTTTTATTTAACATATTTTTTTATTTTTTTACTTATTATTGATCATAACCATTCAGTCCCGAAGTTTATGCTTACAAGTTAAGACCCACCCTGTATAATACTAAATTTTGCTTGAACAGGTCTTAGCTTAATTTTTTTATTTTGGGAATTAATTTACATAAAATCTTTGTTTTTTATTTTATGAAAAATATGAGATTTGCACACTATTTTTCTACTTTTTTTATAATTACCAGCTGATGATAACCATTACTTATAAAATACAAATTTTTTTCTTTCATATCATTTTACGGTTTAGATAATTTAATATTTAGTACATTTAGCACATTTTGTTGCAAAAAAAACAATAGTTTTATTGCAACTAATTCTGTACACTGTGCGCCTGAATTCGCGCCCTAGAGAAAAATGCCATATAAGGTAAGGAGGAACAAAGATAAAATTAAAAAAAAATATTTATAAAAATTTAGAAGATATGAGAGTTTAAATTTTGTACTTTGACTCTATTTATTTTTGTTGGAAAAATAATTTTCCATGTTTTTTTTGCTACAGGCTATTAGAAAAGGAAACAAGGAAGCTGTATCCTAAATTGTTATTCTGTTCAATTTTATTTGTGGCTTTTATTGGCAAAATTTTTGTACTTTTTCTAAAT